CAATTTCTAAGTCAGTAAATCTTAACCTTCGGACTGTGCTTTGTAAGCTGCAAATATAAATTGCCATGTCCGGCGACTGACCTTTTCTATCTTATCATCTGTGACCATAGGAGGCTGCCTTGTGCTGAGTCAGGCAGAAAAAGGAGTGTTTGGGGCTCTTTTGGTTTAGAGGAGAAAGGAAACTGGATAGAGATTTGGGATGGATAAAAACACACACACACTTCTTTCCACCATGCGTAGCATCTTAAATCATGGAAATCACTGTGGGGTGAATAGTTGCATTACATGGTTCCGTCAGCAGGTGGCACTGGACTCAGTTACATCTGGGTGGAGTTCTGAGTTTCTGTCCTTGCTCAAGAGAGACAATAAAGTTCTTGCCTGAATTACTAATTTGGGTGTCCTCTTTGGCGTCCATGCCAACTGCCACCAAAAATAAGACAATGATGAATTTTATTTCTAATCCACTCTTCACTAGGCATAGAAAATACAAACGAAACCAAATGCAACCTTAATGCATCGGAAAACATACCACCCAGCAGAAAGTATAATCTCCTAAATGTCCTCTTAAGCCTCGTTATCTCAGGATTGCATCTAACTAAGAGGGACCACAACGCAACTTCTCACCCCACGCCCCTCCCAAATCTCCTATGGGGGTCCCCCCAACCCTCCGGAGCAGATTTGGAATATTCTATGCACATAATGTTGTTGTTTAGTCGTTTAGTTGTGTCCGACTCTTCGTGAACCCCTGGACCAGAGCACGCCAGGCACTCCTGTCTTCCACTGCCTCCCGCAGTTTGGTCAAACTCATGCTGGTAGCTTCGAGAACACTGTCCCACCATCTCGTCCTCTGTCGTCCCCTTCTTCTTGTGCCCTCCATCTTTCTCAACGTCAGGGTCTTTTCCAGGGAGTCTTCTCTTCTCATGAGGTGGCCAAAGTATTGGAGTCTCAGCTTCACGATCTGTCCTTCCAGGGAGCACTCAGGGCTGATTTCCTTCAGAATGGAGAGGTTTGATCTTCTTGCAGTCCATGGGACTCTCCAGAGTCTCCTCCAGCACCATAATTCAAAAGCATCCATTCTTCGGCGATCAGCCTTCTTTATGGTCCAGCTCTCACTTCCATACATCACTACTGGGAAAACCATAGCTTTAACTATACAGATCTTTGTTGGCAAGGTGATGTCTCTGCTTTTTTTATTACTTATACCCTGCCCATCTGCTGGGCCTCCCCAGCTACTCTGGGTGGCTTCCAACAGGAGATTAAAAATACATTAAAACATCAGTCATTAAAAAAAACTTCCCTAAACAGGGCTGCCTTCAGACGTCTTCTAAACGTCAGATAGTTGTTTATTCCTTTGACATCTGATGGGAGGGCGTTCCACAGGGCGGGCGCCACCACCGAGAAGGCCCTCTGCCTGGTTCCCTGTAACTTCGCTTCTTGCAGTGGGGGAACCACCAGAAGGCCCTTGGAGCTGGACCTCAGTGTCCGGGCTGAACAATGGGGGTGGAGATGCTCCTTCAGGTGTACTGGGTCGAGGTTGGACGCAACCCTCAGTTGCTTCCCAATGGTGTGAGGTGCTACTATAAAGAAGGCCCTGCCCTGTGTCACGGCCATAAGAGTAGACTCGCACAAGCCGGCCAGCTTCCGTTTTGACTTGAAATGCTCATTTTGGGCTTCTCGGGAGTACGTAAAGGCAAGAAGCGCCCATTTGAGAGGTGCCAGAACTGCGCTCTGGCGCACTTGGACTGAAAAAAAAGTGCTGGTCCAACCTCATATTCACAGACTTCCTATTTCAACACACACACACACACCTGCCAGGATAAGTAAACCCAGCAACAATCTCTTCCAATTTCTTCTTTTGCAACAGCGAAGTCCTTTCCAGCCTTGCCAGAAAAAGGTGCGACGTCAGGGCCAAACTAGGAAAGATTTGCAGGTGACAGGGATGGTGGCAGGACTGGCGTTCCTCCGCTCAAAAATAAGATTCTCCCCATGTGAAACCCTAAAACAACTGCAGGAGGGGAGCGCCATTCCATCGTATTAGAGAACCAATAAATCATTTTTGGGGGGGAATCTAAAACAAATGGGCTAAGTAGCTGAGAAGCATTCAGATGGTCTGTCCAAATGGAGAATTACAATAGGGAAGGGGGGTGGGCAGAGCCTTCAAAACTGCAGATGTAAGCAGGCCCATTATATAAGCAGGAAAGATTGCAACTTGCAGGCCGACGAGTAGGAGGAAGCTGGACCTATCAAAGGCAGAGCTGCCAATCAATCTTTTAAAACAGCACCCCCCCCCCCAAATCCTGAGCAAACATTCTTTTTTGCTTACGTTAATATGGAATTTGTTAGGACAACAGGGTTTCCTTTTAAAAAAGGGGGAAGAAAGAGAGGGAGGGAGATGCTTATAGCTCTTGTCTATCAGAGTTCACAGACACATTCGATACAGCTGGAAATATTTTTCTAATTATGTAAAAACAAAAATGCTTTCAACAGAATCTCTATTACTACCCCCCTAACATATGCAGCCTGGAAGTGTGGAGCGGGGAAACAATTTCAAACAAGGGTGATGGACTTCAAGCTGGGCCAACGGGATGATCCGTACCTCCGGAGGCAGTTTCATCTGGTCCCAAAGAGGCATCCTTGCTGGGTTTCCAACAAGAACTGGTTGACGTTCAGCCCGCAGGAAGGAGCTGCCTATGTTTAGCCTGGAGAAGAGAAGACTCAGAGGAGACCTGCTCTTTCCCTAAGCTTAGTTGGTGCTTTCCCAGGAGGTGGGAGAGCTCTAGGACCCTGCCAGAACCTCACACCTCCATCCCAAAGCCCAGCACCTCGCTTATCTGGCTTTGGGAAGGTAGCATGAGAGCTGGAGGGTGTCAGGCCTTGGGCAAGTGGCTTCCTCCCTCCCTTGGCCATGGATAAGCAGAACAAAGCAAAAATAGTCTCTTACCATTTAAAGAGATTTTAATGATCACAGCGGAAGAACAAAGAGTCCATTCTTGGAGTAAAGGTGCTCCCAATTAAGGTTTACACCAGGGGTCGGCAAGGCTTACCTTGCCTGGGCGGGTTCACTGACGTGGAGCCCCCTCTGTGGGCTGGATTACGGGTGTGTGATTTCTGGCACCAGTGTCTGCGCAGACATGATTTCTGGCGCTGTGAAAGCAAGTCCCTGCGCCGCTTTAGCGCAGTGCGTGGGGACTCGCCAAGCGGGAGGCTTGGTTCGGGGTTGGCTCATGGGCTGGTAAAACGACTCCAGTGGACCGCTTGTGGTCCATGGGCCTTAGGTTGCCGACCCCTGGTTTACACCCCCCCCCGAGTCACCCAAGTCACTTCCTCATCTTGCAACCTGATCTCGCAACCGCTGTGCCTTCTGTGCAGCTACCTTATCTAATCTCCGTGACCTTGGACTGGACACTTTCCAGAGAACTGGAGTCTGTTAAGTCTCTCTCTCTCGGTTCTTCTCCTCCTAGCTGTTCACCACCCAGTTCTTCCCAACTTCTGTATTCTAAACTATGTCCCTCTGCAAACCACTGTTCCAGATCTATACTTTCCTCCTGCTCCTGGGAAGATTCAGGATCCTGAACTTCAGGAGTAAAGTTGCGCCCCTCCCAAGCCTCCTCAGGAGGAGAGCAATCCTCGTGGAGGCTTGGGAGTGAAGTTGCGTCCCTCCCAAACCTCCTCGGAAGGAGAGCGATCCTTGCATAGACTTGAGAGGGAAGCTGCGTTTCTGCCAGCCATATGGCTGGCGGGGCACAGCTTCCATCCTAAGCCTCTGCGGGGATCGCTCTCCTCCCGAGGAGGCTTGGGAGGGAAGCTGCACGCCTGCCAGCCTTATGGTGGGCGTGCAGGGAAAGGGGAGGCCGCCGGTAAAGCCGCTCAGCTCCCCCACTTGCTGGGGCGCCCCTTAGAGGCTGGTGCCCTGGCACGACGCACCACTAAGCCCTATGGAAAAGACGGCTCTGAATGTGGCCTTCAGCCACAGCCCCAACAAGGGCTGGCTTATGAGGGATACAGACCCAGAAAACCAAAGGCTTCTCTTTAACCGCTGCTCCTGGCCTGGCCAAGCCAGCCACCCAGCTCCCTCCATTGCTCAAACACACCTGCTCCTTGCCACGCCATGCCAGGCTGTTTGCTTCCATGCAGTGGCCCCGGTGGAATCCCGGTGAGGCCCACACATTGAAAGTACACTGCTTTAAAGGATCAAGAGCACTACCTCTGGGAAACTCCAACCCTCCTCGCCGAAAACATCATGAATCAAAGGCATTATTCCTCGAGCTCTCTAAATATAGCCCCCTAAGCATCCCGGAGCGAAACTGAAAAATTGGCTTCCTCGCTGGGACGAAAATAATCTGTTCCGTGGCGGTAGACGTTTAATTCCTAGGTCAAGTTTCTCCCAAACCTCATTTGCTTGGGTCCACCACGATCAAATTTGCGCTTCCACCTGTAATTCATTTAAAGATTAGAAACAGTCCATTAAACCCTATTCTTGCCACTTTGGAGGGGGGGGGGGAGAGTGTAGGAATATAAATATTGTGGTCTCGAGAACCTCTGCTTTCTGGTTTTGCAAATTGCAGAGGAAAAAAATAGGCTTTGCTCTCGCAATTTGACTGATTTGAGGTTAGGGGAGGGAATTTGTCCTGAATCACAGAAACCAGTGATCTTGGCGGTGGCAGAAGGGGCTTCTCCCCTCACTGTAAACTTAAGTCATCTCAGAGACAAATGAGAGGGAGAAAACCGACGGTGAATAAGATCAACGTGATGGTTTGGGTGTCAGACCTACCGCACAGGGTTCCTGTGAGGATAAAATGGGGAAAGTTTAAAAAAACCATGCCTGCCACCTGGAGCTCCTTGGAGGAAAAGTGGGGTGTGAATCAAATAAACAAATAAATTGAAAAGCAGCCAGTGAGGAAGGTATGCGTGTGTTTGTAAAGAAATGAACTGGATAGAAATACAGGCAGAGGAGAAGGGGATGTAGAATTCAGCAGTAACTAATTTGCAGCCAGTAGTGATGTATGGAAGTGAGAGCTGGACCATAAAGAAGGCTGATCGCCGAAGAATGGATGCTTTTGAATTCTGGTGCTGGAGGAGACTCTTGAGAGTCCCATGGACTGCAAGAAGATCAAACCTATCCATTCTTAAGGAAATCAGCCCTGAGTGCTCACTGGAAGGACAGATCGTGAAGCTGAGGCTCCAATACTTTGGCCACCTCATGAGAAGAGAAGACTCCCTGGAAAAGACCCTGATGTTGGGAAAGATGGAGGGCAGAAGAAGAAGGGGATGACAGAGGACGAGATGGTGGGACAGTGTTCTCGAAGCTACCAGCATGAGTTTGACCAAACTGGGGGAGGCAGTGGAAGACAGGAGTGCCTGGCGTGCTCTGGTCCATGGGGTCAAAAAGAGTCGGACACGACTAAACGACTAAACAACAACAATTTGCAGCTAACTCTAATCTTGTGTGATATTCACCTGAGTTAAGTTTACAAGTTAAGTCGCACATTCGTATTCTGGTTTTGTTCCCCATGTGATCATTTACTTTTTATCTTCCTTATTTCTCCCTTCCCCAAGAGTTGTTCACGTAAAATGTCCTTTTGATTTCTCATAGCTGGTATTACGCTTTCGCCATTTATCAACACATTTATTATCCGGGGGGGGGGGGGGCAGGGGTACACATACCCCCTAAACATTTTGTGAATCTAGGTTTGGCCTCATTGAGGGGCAGTATTTCAATATGAGTAGGAAAATGAGAGTATACCCCTAAACATTTTTTGGGGGGGGGGGTGGAAGCACTGCCATTTATCAATGGAAATGCATTCACTGATCTCCCACTGGCATTTTTATTTATTATTATTATTTAAAAAAAACTTTTTTTGCTTTTGCAAACTGATTATAGCCTCTCAGGTCATGTTTGGTAGCCATCCTATTGCCCACTGGGGCTACCTAAGAACTTCATTTATGGGAGGGGGCGTTAACCCTTTCCCCCACCCATTCTCTTGATGTCAGCAGTGAGCACACACACAGAGCTATCACACCCCATTGCATTGCAGGGGGCTGGACTAGACTGGACTGAGAGCCAGTGTGCTGTAGTGGTTAAGAGCGGTAGACTCATAATCTGGTGAACCGGGTTCGCTTCCCCACTCCTCCACATGCAGCTACTGGGTGACCTTGGGCTAGTCACACTTCTCTGAAGTCTCTCAGCCTCACTCACCTCACAGAGTGTTTGTTGGGAGGAGGAAGGGAAAAGAGAATGTTAGTCGCTTTGAGACTCCTTAAAGGTAAAGGGACCCCTGACCATTAGGTCCAGTCGTGGCCGACTCTGGGGTTGCAGCGCTCATCTCGCTTTACTGGCCGAGGGAGCCGGCGTACAGCTTCCGGGTCATGTGGCCAGCATGACTAAGCCACTTCTGGCGAACCAGAGCAGCGCACGGAAACGCCGTTTACCTTCCCACCAGAGCGGTACCTATTTATCTACTTGCACTTTGACGTGCTTTCGAACTGCTAGGTTGGCAGGAGCAGGGACCGAGCAACGGGAGCTCACCCCGTCACGGGGATTCGAACTGCCAACCTTCTGATCGGCAAGTCCTAGGCTCTGTGGTTTAACCCACAGCGCCACCCACTACTTCTTAGGGTAGTGATAAAGTGGGATATCAAATCCAAACTACCCCTCTTCTTCTTCTTCTTCTTCTTCTTCTTCTTCTTCTTCTTCTTCTTCTTCTTCTTCTTCTTCTTCTTCTATGATTCTATGAAATAGTGGGGGAAGACATTATTATTATTCCCCCCCCCCACTTCATGACTAACAGAATTAAGGAATATTTGCCACTTGATGCTTTAGCGTTTTATTTTGTGTTTGAAAAGATCACTGCAGGAGACCCATATTCACCTTACAAGGAAAACCCATATTCTGGGTTTTCCAGAACTCTGCAATTTCCTGCTGTGTTTTAATGACCCATCTCCTGCTATAGTTTTAATGACCCATGTGATATTACAGACTCATCTCCTGCAACTGGTAAAACCATAACATTTGAAATGCGATCACATCGATTACAGTTTTAATAATAACAAAAAAAAACCTTCACAAACGCCACCTTTGACCCTGCCTCCTCTCCACCGCATGGTTTTGCAATGCAGATACTTCCTTTTTTAAAAAAAGGGAATAGGACATGAAGGCACGCCAGCCGAACTGTTTTAGCAACAAACCAGAGATATAAACGGAATTGCTCTTTGGTTCCATTCCAGGAAAGCTTTCGCTGAACCGAAGGTCTCTGTGTCCAGAGATTTCCAATCCATTTCCAAACCCAGCTCTGGGGTTTCTGAATAGCCACCCCAGACCCCCAAATAGGGCCCAGAGTTTGTGCTGGTGCATCGAACACTCGAGGGGTGCGATCAACCTGCATTGACACGAGATGAAAAGAGGTCGCTAATCGGTGGCGTAGCATGGGTGGGGCCACGGGGTGCAGAAGTATTAGGGGCATAAGATTCCAGAAGAAAAAGTAGCAATAACAAGTAAAAAAAAAATAGTGCGCACCCCCCAATCTCCCAATCTGAGAGCCAGCGTGGTGTAGTGGTTAAGAGTGGTAGTCTCGTAATCTGGGGAACCGGGTTCGCGTCTCCGCTCCTCCACATGCAGCTGCTGGGTGACCTTGGGCCAGTCACATTTCTTTGGAGTCTCCTAGCCCCACTCACCTCACAGAGTGTTTGTTGTGGGGGAGGAAGGGAAAGGAGAATGTTAGCCGCTTTGAGACTCCTTAAAAGGGAGTGAAAGGCGGGATATCAAATCCAAACTCTTCTTCTTCTTCTTCTTCTTCTTCTTCTTCCCAATGTACGTGTGGGTGGACTTGGGTGACAGCCACTTGCTAGGGAGCCCTATCCATGGGCTTTGTAAAGATACCTGCTGCTAAGAATGGAATAATAATAATAATAATAATAATAATAATAATAAATTTTATTTATACCCCGCCCTCCCCGGCCAGAGCCGGGTTCTGGGCGGCTAACACCAGTAAAATTACAATAAAAACATAATAGGGGATAAACAACAGCAAGAAGACAATTTAAAATACAGACCAATCTAACCACCTTGCGACTTGGGACCTCCAAAGTGTTATCATTTGAAATCATTTATGGAGCATAAACAAAATTATTGTAAACAAATTAACTAACAGGGCCTTGAATTCTCGGGGTCTGGGGTGCTCCTGACCTGGCAACTCTATTCACCCATAAGACCTAGGAAAGGCTTTGGGTATACTTTGAAATGATCCATGCCTGCTGACAAATCTATAGGCCTGGCATTGGAAAAGTATGTTCCACAGGCGTTATTTTTTATCTTTATTTATATCCTGCCTTTCTCCCGAGACCCACAGCATGCATTAAAACAAATATAGCTAAAAGTACGCAATCAAAATAAATATTTTTTTTTCAACAACAACACAAATAAGTAACCCTATTAAAAATAGCACTGAAAACCAAGGCTTTTTTCAGCTGGAACTCACTGGAACTCAGTTCCGGCACCTCTCAGGTAGGCACCATTCATAGCAGTTCCGGCATCTCTTTTTCTAGGAAAACAACACAGCTGAAAACCATTTAAAATCACACACATACCCCAGAAAAATCAGCACACACCTACCCTCAGAAGACTCTGCCTCAACAGCCAGTTAAGACAGGGTTACCAGACGTCCCCGGTTTCCGGGGACAGTCCCTCGCTTTGCAAATCTGTCCCCGGGAAACGTGGCAGCAGCAGCCTCAGCAGCCCGGAGCCAGCCTGGTAGCGCAGTTGGCTCTGGCTGGCTTCAGGGGCTGCTCGCTGCCGTGACACCCGCCATTTTTCCTCGCCGGAAGTCCCCATATGATGTGTCTTGTGCGCATAGGATGCGTCTTGTGCGATCTCCTGCCCCCTTCCCCCTTTGTTTTTGTTATGTACTGAAGTTCTCACCCTGGGCCTGCAGGGGGATACTGTAGATAGTTTTCACTCAGGTCCACTTATGCAAATAAGGGATTGAAAGTGACGTTCAGTGATTGGATAGTTACAGAAAGTTGTTACTGTTGCTTTGTAGTTGAGTTCTATATAAGCAGGCTGGCCGAACCCTTCAGCCCAGTTCTGTTCTGGGCCTGTGAATAAACAAGAGCTGTTTGAAGAATCGCTGTGTCATCTGATATGTTCACCCACAACTTAACATTTTTCACTGATTGGGGGAGGTTTGGGGGTTGCGGGTGGGCGGGTGTTGCCCAGGTTTTTAACTCGTAGCCAAGTAAGATTGTCTTCCATAAACAAGGTTTTAACAATGAGTCCATAAGTGATTGTGGAGGCCAATTCTGGATCCACACGCCCTTCCACAGTGGGGACATTGGTTTCTTGGCGGGAGTTGGTCATGGTGTGGATTTGCCAAGTGTGCCTTCCTCTTAGCACGTTTCTCCCTTGCGTCCTGAGTTCGAGTGTCTTCAAAGTCCATAACACCTTTGGTCAAGGCTGTTCTCCAACTGGAGTTCTCGCAGGCCAGTGTTTCCCAGTTGTCAGTGTTTATACTATTTTTTTTAGATTTGCCTTGAGACAGTCTTTAAACCTCTTTTGTTGACATTACGCTTTCCATTTTTAAGTTCGGAATAGAGTAGTTGCTTTGGAAGATGATCATCAGGCATCTGCACAACATGTCCAGTCCAGCGAAGTTGATGTTGAAGAATCCTTGCTTCGACATGGGTGATCTTTGCTTCATCCAGTACACTGATATTAGTTCACCTGTCTTCCCAAGTAATGTGTAAGATTTTTCGGAGACACCGTTGATGGAATCTTTCAAGCAGCTGGAGATGGCGTTTATAAGTGGTCCATGTTTCACATGCATACAGTAAGTTTGGTAGTACAATAGCTTTGTAAACAAGCATTTTGATTTCCCTGCAAATGTCCCAGTCCTTTTTTTGAAGTGTCTGTTGTCCATGTCTCTGAGTTTCCTGGTTAGCTTTGCCAGTTCAGTATATTCCATCAGTTTTTCTTTCCATTCTTCTTTGATTGATGTCTTCTCATCTTTCCATTTCTGGGCTAATAAAACCCTAGCTGCTGTTGTTGCATATAGAAATAAATTCTTGATTCACCTCTATCTCTAACCATAAAGTAGCCGCAGTTACTGTCCTGTTAAAACTAAAAGGTATTTTCCTGACGGCAATGCAACATATGACTCACTCTTCTCTGGGGGGCCACTGCTCTTTAAAGGGAAAAGCCTCCCCCCCTTGTATGCATTTGCCTCATTTTCGAGGAGTTCTGCCAGCGCAGAGCCCAAACCCGCC